CGGTATTAAGACAAGTATAGATATCGAGCCAGCGAAAGCCAACGCCTACCAGCGTCCACCAGCGACTAGGAAAGTGTAGGTATCGATACATCAAACGCCTGCGTTCAGAAGCGTTCAGCGTGTTTTCCCATTTTTCATCGAGTTCGAATTGCTAGCGAAATCGCTGGCCTCCACTAGATTGATACTTATACTTACCTAGTCTCTCGAGATGCTGGTGGACGCTGACGAAAAGTATGAACGCATCCTTTGAATTCTAATCGTCAGCGGTGTGTGGAAAAAATTATCATTATGCTTCATTTCAGGCTCCATTCAATCCAGATAACCTTTTCTGTGAAGCATATAACAAACTAAACAACACCTACTGTAAGCGAGTACGAGTGATTTGTGCTGAACACTACAAAGGTGAACTTGAAAATGAGCTGCAGGTCAGACATTACAAAGTAACTTGACCTTTTGGAGGCGTGCGGTTAGTACACTGAAAGCATTTGTTTCCAGGTGTGTGCATATCCGAAGGCATGGTCTGAGGGGAAATCACTCACGTTCGCCGAGATGTTCGAGCATGGTCCAGATCTTCTCAAAGATAAAGGGTTCTGCTGTGCACCTCGTAAAGAGTGCACTCAACATCACCGATGGGTTCAGGTTAGTTCGCCCAGCTTTTGAGAGAGTTCTGAGCCACAATTTCCCGTCACCTAGGTACTTGTTGGTACGATCGAATGTGAACGCATGAACCTGTTGACACGGTTGGACGAGCTTCTGGAAAGACGAAAAGTTGTGTCTTTGGGCATGTCTACTCGCGGGGACGTGATCTCCTTGCTGAACTTTGAGGCAAGTAGTTTTCAAAAAAAATTGTTCGCTAGAACTTGTACCTAGATTTTCTGTATCGATAAGAAAGTTCGGAGTTCAGCTGAGTGAACTGTGACTTCGATCGCTCACCGTTTTGTCATGTTACTCAAAAACACATGGCACGCTCAGCCGAGAGGGAACCCTTTCCATTCAAGATGGGGAAAGTTCAAACTCGTAGAACTGAAGCATTCACGCCATTTCAAAATGCGTGGCAATGAAGCTAGAGGCTCATGATAGTTTGCTGAATCTTCGGCTGCGATTTAATACGCGATACGCACGCCATCACCGGGCCACACGGGCTGCTGTGCGCTTAATTACAGCCATACACGCTACATGTCTGTGCTCTCTCTCCTCTCGCTGCAACGGCGCGGCTTGAATAGCGGACATAACTGAATTAGAAGCTCAGAAATACAGGTGGTATGCAATATCCCAAATGCGCGTAAAGTTGAGTGTGCAGGAGCAGCGGGTGCACACAACACGCGTATAACATAGTTACGGTATACCCAGTTATGTGCACTCAGGGTCGATACATTTAATTTCATGCGCAACTTCCGAGGTACTGTATACCGTCAGTCTTCCCGCACTTATAATCTTGTACGAGCGAAAAGTGGCATCAAAGTGTTGAAAGCCTCGAGTTTCATGGCCGTTCACTCTGGAATGTCGGGAGTACCAAACTTGTACGGCTGCTCAGCTCGTGCTCGGAAAAGCACCTCCTGTAAAGTGCGTCTTTGAATTCCTCCAGCGATGGTTTTGTGAGTGGTGGGGAGCTGCCCCAGGTAGAAGTTTGGATATGGAGGAGATCCATGTTTTGACGCTGCGAATGTAGCATCACAGTTGTGTGGCATGAGTGGTATTCGCACCAGGAACTAATAAATTCGACCTGGCAGAGCTAGAGGGTCGTAGCTGTGAATCTCCGCTATCTCTGCTGCGCTCCAAGGGTTTGAACAGCAGTGCTTGCACTGCACGGTGAGTTCACAATGTCCGAAAAAAACTTTGTCGATTAAATTAAATGTGGTGGAGAGATGGTAAACGGAGGCTGAAAATGGCTGGAGATGATCAGTGGAAGCGTCGATTTTAACTTGCACGAGCATTTCCCCTCTGACAATGCTTAGGTAACGGCTGCAACACATTAAATAGTATCGTTATTAGCACCATGTTAAACGTGTGAGTGCTGATAGGCTACGGCATAAAAGCCGTTGAAGCTGAGAGGGTAAAGCGGCCCTGTGGCGTAACGGATAGCGCACACGATCGCCCGGAAAGCGGTGCAAGTGGGGTTCGACTCCCTGCCGTGGTTCCGAGGTTGAGGGGTAGTTGTCCGATAACTCGGGGCGTTCTTAGTGCTGTCAGCACCGAATGTTTACCCGTCGCTATAAACTGAGCCAAAGACAACTAACATGTGGGGGAAGCAGCGCACGGGACGGAGGAGGGTAGGAGGCGGAGTGCGATTTGTACTTTCGCTGCTTCAGCTATAACTAGCTGGGTATACAAGATGCCGACCCCCCTGATGGAAAACCTGTTCTAAGCGCGTGGAGCAGACGAAGCTTGTCGAGGGTCGTCAATGGTAAGACTTTGTCACCTGTAAGCTCACACGAGTGGCTCTCTCTAAGAATGGGCCGGCACGTCGGAAGGAAGTACGAAGTGCAAAGTGGCCCCCCACCGGCCTACGGCACGACCCCACCCCTCTATTCACGCGAACTCCCTCCAATTGAGCTTTGAAGCCCTTATGAGTTTGCGTGAAAATGTATGTGGTATGCTTGGCGTTGTTCAAAAAGAGTTTCCTGATCCTGACCTTGTATTTTCAGCCGCCCGTGGTTGAGCCAAGTGGCAATTCCAAATAAAAAAGCGGTGTCCACGTCTCTGTGTCTCCGACGAGCTCCGACTACTCTCTCGATCTCGTCGTTCACGGCTGGTGTGTGGTACACGTGTAGCAATGACGAGCCATTATCTATTGTATTTCAGCACTTTCATTATAAAGCTCATATTATTGTTATCAGATGCCATTCTTGTTTGTAAAGACTAATTATGTTATGTATTAAATGAATTTAAGTAGGATTCGAGGTCTTGTTGTGTGAATGTAAACTGAATGGGGGCTAGTTCCCTGACTCTAGATATATTCTATAATAAAGAAGTATAAAATAAATTAGGAAAATATATATTTAAAATAATAAAATATAATTATTTAAAAAATAAATTATGATAATATTAAAATTATAAATAAAATAGTAAAATTAAATATTACAAATTAAAAATTTAAATGAAATTTCATGAAATAATTTATGATTTTAATAAAATATATATTTTGTTAAATGTGTAAGTTGAATAGGCAGCTTACGCTCGCGAATTTTCTTTGTCAGTTTACGAGCCCCCCGAGCTGCAAACAAATGTGGGAGCAGGCGAGGGGCCACTGGCATCCTTCTTGGCCCATAGCACGTAGGGTATCCGGGAACAGGGTACCAGGCATTCCTGTTCAGTCTGATTCTCTGGAGTTTACCATACCGGCAATGATTTCTTCCTTCCGTTCCAGCGGCGTGTGACTCGGGGTGCTGATCTCGTCAAGACGGTCCGTTGCCCTCTCGGGCGCTGGGTGGGTTGCACTATTGTCTGCCAGTCCACGGTAATCATGTGAGAAGTTTGTTCCGGGCAGTCGAGGGGCCGCGAAAGCCTGCTACAGTTACTGATATACTGCATCTTATAGTTGTTGTCTGGTAGTTGTTGTTGGATAGGTCGTAGTAACCAATTCGGGGCGTCTCAAGGAGTGGGGGGCGGGCGGGATCTACCCGTGCGCCAGCCATTTTCCAGCAAATAGGTGGTAGCCCGTGTGTTTGATTCACGATAAAAACAACAGTAGTGAAAACGCTGAGGGAGGGCTAATTCTACTCCCGACTGATTGTGACGGTGTCAACTTTGAACGGGTAGGCTCGCCAAACCTCAGCATCGCAGGCCGCCGCTTCGTCTACCATTAGTGGTCGCTCAGTGATCGATTTACGATAAAAACAACCAGTAGTGAAAACGCTGCGGGTGGGCTCGTTCTATGGCTCCTCGACTGATTGCGACTACCACCTATGCTGCACGCAGCGCTGTAGATAGTGGGTGGCTAGTCTCGTCAAGACCATTTTCTGCCGGAGAGACAAGACCTCCTTCACGAGTCGGAAATAGTTTGCTGGTACCATTTCAAGAACAGTCCATGGTCGACTCTCCATCCACCCGAAAAGTCGCCATATTCTGAACGACCTCCCTTGTAATTAGCTGTGTCCATAGACTTTTGCATAGACTATGGATGGTGTCGCGCGAGGGACACGCAACGCGCAATGATTTCTGGTCTGGTTTTCATGTAACCACATTACGCTGGGATCCCCAAATGGAAAGTCATGGGTATTGGCTCATCTCGCAAGGAGAGTGTTTAAGTTTGAGTGCTCCATGTTCCCTGTATCCTGGTCTGTGCGGGGCCCTTAATGGATGCAGAAGAAGACTACATAGACCTATATCTAATCCACTTCAAAGTAAAGCTACGAAAAAGGCAACAGCGCATAGCGGGTCTCATTCAAAAATATTTTATCTTTTTTTCACAAAAAATGCAGACCATGTTTGTGGAACGTACTGTATTTTTCATATAAAGTTCCCGTTCAACAGCTCTACCTATTGTCAGTCTTTCGTAAGATCACTTGTTCAGGGTAGGTTAGGGTAGAAGGTAGAGATGCCTAAGACTGTGCTGGTGTTCGACGTCGATGGCACCCTGACTCCAGCTAGGCAGGTTAGTTGTTTCCAATGCTGCCAGGATGATTTTTACATTTGTTCTCCTAGAACTGGTTATGTGATCAAATCTCATTTTTTGACATCATAGGAAATTACAGCTCATTATTTTCAGAAAATGCATGACGACATCCGTGAATTCATGATGAAAGTGCGAGAACGCGTCCCTGTGGCCGTTGTAGGAGGATCGGATCTCGCCAAAATCGTGGAACAACTAGCAGAAAATAAGGAGGATTGTGAGTTTCGGGATCTCGGTATATGTTACTTTGAAGGCAGTTTCCACAATAATGTGTGCGGAATAACTCTTTTTTCCCTTTCTTTGATTGGAAAAAGTCAAAGTCGGTACGGAAAGGATTGCCCCGCGATCAAAAATGGCGGGGTGTGGTGCTCAAATACAAATGACGAAGTAGTAAGGAACTCTAAGTAAAGAATAAGCAGGAACGTACGAAATGCCCTTGGTGTGACCCCAGTCAATCCGAGCTTGTACGGGTATACAGCGAAGGGAGGGCGTGCATGGGCTAGTCCTCACTTGCTGGTTTCGTTTCATAGCTGCATCTGCCCTTTTCTCCCATCACCCCACTCTCACTATTCGGAATGGGAGGAGCTCTTACTATTAGTGGAACGACCGCAGCACAAAGAAACCTTTGGAAATGAACGTTGGGTGTGGGATGGGACGTGGGTGGGGCATTGCCTTCGTCGTAATCGAGTGGCGACGTTATCACGTATATTTAATGTCAACATGACTACCTTGTCCACGCAGAGCGTCCGTACACCAGAAGAACACTAGTCATGCTTTCAAGAGGCTATCTTAGGCTACAACATTGAGTACAGCTGTCTAAAAACAGCATGTCATGGTCAAGTATTGATACCTCACCCATTCAAAGAGCCGACAACGCGACAATGACGAGCTACGATTTTTCCCGTCTCCGCAAGATTACAAAGCCATATTTCAGGACAAGGGCTTTAATTGTTGGGCATATTTCACTTTGCGTCTTTCTTTACTGCGAGCTCAATAAGAACATTAGCGTTTATGAAACAAAACAGTCTTCAACGATTAATGTACTGACGGGTACGTAGTGAATTCTAAGCTGTTATCAAGTTTTCAGTACTGTCGCGGTTTGACTTCGTCTTTTCTGAGAATGGATTAGTTGGATTCAAAGGGAAGGAAATGTTACCGTCCAAGGTGAGTATTTGAAGCGAATGTACTTTAGTGGAATCGTATGCTGTAATTCTTTGCAATCCATCGCGACTTCTTCCCATAGTTTGGGTAAATGACCTCTAGGTTGGCCCTATGCACAGAACCAACTGAGCCCGCGTTCACATCTTGCGACGTTCGATTCTAGTGGATTCTCCGATCCACAATGTAGCAGGGTGTGAACGCGGCGTAACGTTTGTGTGATGTTACAGGGCACGGGTTAACCTTGCATCATAAAGGGGACATTTTTTTCTCTGCTGTTTCGCTGTGCTATCAGAGATGGACTATTCAATATTATTTCTGGTTTGTTTCAGGCAATACAAGATCATATTGGCGAAGAGAAACTGCAGAAGCTGATCAATTTTGTCCTAAGATACTTCTCCGAAATAACACTGCCAGTGAAGCGTGGTAATTTCATCGAGTTTAGAAAGGTTGGTTCTCTGTCAGTTTTGGATGGCGGCCATGGCCTGGGTCTGTAATGTCAGTTGGGATGTGGGATTGCTGCCACAAAGATCATGGGAGCTTTCCTTGTGACAACCAGAATAGGTTGCTTTACAGCTCGACCGGCCTTAGCCGCGCCCATTCTTCCGCCTAAGGAGAGGATGTGGCAGTTCTGGCTCAGGGGCAAAACGGTAGCTATACCGATGGGCGCTCAGCTTAGGACGGTAATTCGTTTTGCGACATATCTAAACAGTAGCAGAGAAAACACCTGTAGAAGGAATCAAAAAGTGAAGTTTCACAGAGCCGCTGAACTGGAAGGCTCATCCTGAACCTAAAAACGAAAAACCTCTTCCTTTAATATCAGTACTATGTAGAGCAGTTGACATATTTGCTGTTCAATTCTGGAATTTTCAAGGGAATGCTTAATTTTTCGCCGATCGGTCGGAGCTGTTCGCAAGCAGAACGGGATCAGTTTGTTGTTTACGATAAGGAGCACAAAATACGGGAAAAGTTTGTCAAGGAGCTGGAAGAGAAGTTCTCTGAGTATGGACTTTGCTTTGTCATAGGTGAGCCAATTTACCTCCTGTAACGAATATTACCATGCAGGATTGTATTGTTGATTTGATTCCTTCCCTACCTTGATTCAGGTGGACAAATCAGTGTTGATGCATATCCTGTTGGATGGGATAAGACGTACTGCCTTCAGTTCATTGAGAAAGATTTCGATACCATACATTTCTTTGGAGATAAAACAATGCCGGTGAGTTTCCATATTACCATGCTATGAAGGCGATCTGAAGGAAAAGCTGGTCCTATCTGGAAATGAATTTTGGCAGTAATTGCAGTGCGCACGCTGGTCTAGTCAAGGCTACTGCCTTGTCGGACGTACACTAGCCACGAAAGATTGAAGCGGTGGACATCAGGGCACGTCCTGCCGTAGGGAAAAAAATTGCAACATGCATACCCCTCAATGTTTCCTGCTTTGGTATGACCACTTCCCATCCATCCTAGCCACCATCTCCCTGAACTCTCCCAACTTCCTACAACTTTTCCCGATTTTCTTCCAAAAATTTCCCTTAGAAACTGCCATCAAGCGCGACGGCGGCGAGGTATATGGCGCCCTTGAAACTGTAAAAAAAAGTGAAAAACATCTCTAACGAAGGCAGTCACGGCCTTCATTCACTCCAGTAGCACCACCCCCCCCCCGCCTCTTGCTTTCAGCGTCCCTGCCACGTTATCCGACTGCAACCTAGCCGTCAGCTCAGCTGTGAAGCTGTTCGAGCGATTTTAGGTTCACCGAACGCGCACAAGATGGCTCTGTACTAGTTATGTTTACGCATTATTAGTCCGATATCAGTCACTCACTGCTTTCATGCGTGGCAGGTCCTGATATGCGTAAAGCAAATAAGCTGACCCAAATACTGTTATCGAGAAGTCGCGTGGAGCGAGGCACTGGAGCATGTGGCTCGCTGGTCAGGGTTGGATGCAAATGAAGTTCAGTCATTTCCGTGGATCGCATATTTTCACTGCTAATCACGATGAAAAAGTCGCGTATTTTTAAGAACTGAGATCGCTATAATCAGCGTGGATGTGGGGAGTTGGGGGAGGGGATGAAGCATTCTCGATCAGCCAATGCAGAAGGTACACGTTAGGCCACATTCATACTTTGCAACTGAGGAGATTGGCGATTTGATGGAATGCGCGACGAGAAAGGTGTAGGAATTGATCTCGTAATTTCGAAGATTGAGCGATCCCGCGATTCGAGAGACGGGCGATTTGCCGAGTTGGCGCATCTCCTAAATTGCCAGCGACGCGCCAGATCGCCGAATTTCTGCAGTCGCTAGCCACCGGCGCCGAACGATACCCATCCACTCCTTTGGCGCGCAATCGCCGGAAACGATGAATGACTCAACGTCGACCATTTTTTTGTTTCCCTAATTCTGCCTCGTTCTAGGGAGGTAACGACCATGCGATCTTCATGGATTCGCGCACAATAGGACATACAGTAGTGGATCCGACTGACACGAAGCTCCAAGTGGAACAGTTGTTGAAGGAATTAGGGTATTGATTGCAAAGTCTACTTTGTTGTATTTTTTCATCTCTTTGTTGTAACTTTAACTGCTACGCTTTTGGGATGATTATTGAGTCATAAGGACCTCAGTTATGTACTGTCAGTTTGTCAAACTAAAGCTTGTGCCCAAGATTTATTAGGGTCATGGTTGGTAATGCAAAACTCGGGGTCGAGTATTGCAGAAGTCTTGCTCACTTCGGACAT